ATGCTTGGCGGACCCATGCGACTTCTTCAATACAAAGAGTCCTTCGTGTGTTGTGTACTGCGTATATTGCGGGTTACTCGATGTGAGGAAGTTGGACGGTTCTGGTTAGCGCTGCGTTCTTAAGTTCTCGTGTCATTTTCACTCATACCCATTCTATAATATGTATATATTAGTATCTGATTGTTCTCATTAACATGTGTGATGTTTGAGAGCAAAAATAAAATAAATTAAACATATAAGTCATCCGTTGGGTTGGGTGACATTCTTGATTGAACTCTAGCCAGACGTCCACGACGAAAGAGAAGCTAAAGTGTTTTCAGGCTCAGTTTTTTAGTATTGAGAATGCTAAAACAAAGACAGACAAACTGTGATGTATAAATGACGACACCCGTATTTCAAAAACGTCATATACCGTGACAAATTTTTCTGTATATAAATACGATCAGACTACTTATGATCACTAGATTTATTATGTAACAATGTGTTCTAAAATAAATTATAAATTTATCCAAGTTTAACTCAAAAACGGTCACGAAACAGATAATTTTGTTTTATTATGTTCAGTGAACTTACTTTTTTACTAATATTATGAACAAAACGATTATATTATTATAGTATCGAATAAAATCAAAAACTTCTGATCATATCATAAAAATTATTTTACCAATAGCTGCACTACCTTTGATATAAATATCCAGAATTTAAAATAAATGCTATTGCGATTTGCATTCCTTCTAATCGTACAATGAACCTAAGATCTATATGTAGTAGGTATATGTACTAGAAACAACTAAATTATCAGGAGTGGCAAAGCGTGACTTATTCAGTGTTGTAACGTCTGACGCAAATCATTTGTCTCGGCGCCTCTGCATGACGCACTGATAGTTCCATATTGTGTGAACTCTCACGTTTTTGTTTGTTGTGGTGTTTAAATTATTTGATAAAGATACGCCACGAAATTGTTGCGTCGGGACGGGAAATTCGAAAGCGTATCAACACTAATATTATAAAGATTTGATTGTGTAGGCATTGAAAAGGCTCCAAAATGAGAGGACTGGTTTAAAAAAAATATTTCACCAATATAATCCATCCGTCCATGATGAACATAGGTTATAGAATATTTTAAAAAACTATTAACAATAGAGCAATGTGATGTCATACAGTTTTATGGAAGACAGGTCTAACAAAAACCCCGAGAAAAGCTTTCGGCTATATCTCTATCAGTGTACATTTAATGTGGAGATTTCGGATATAAAAAAAAACAAATCAAACTGAGCTGTCTTGACTTGGTCATCACGGACATTAACAATCTACTTTCGCGTTATTTAACTTTCTTTTAAACTTACATAAACTATGCAAAGGAAAGATGTTATCCCTTTGTAAGATAATTCAAACTCACTTATTCATTTTATTACTAGAAAGAAATCAACTTTTACCAAGGATCATGTCATATTTACTATGACAAGTCACGTATAAATAGCATGTCATTGACAATTGACTAACCATATGTGACTGTCATGGCTACTACATGAATTACAACGACATAATATAATAATTAGAATGCGATAATATAAATTAATGAGCGTCCGCACTCTATTATTATTAGCAGGCGTTAATTATTAGCGTTATGAAGAACAGGGTTGGTCAAAGGTTCTATTTTAGTAGCTATAAATTAAATAGGAATAACGGCTCAATTTAAACGACGTTTTTGACATTCGGGAGGCATATTATTTTAGTCTTTAATCTCTTTCTAAGTTCTCGTTAAAGGTTAAAGGTTTGGTCCATTGTGCGTAAAGTCCTAACTAACTAAGCCAGCGTAGCTCCTTCCAGAAGCACAGAAATCTCCTGGGCACTTCGCAGGCTTCACAGAGCGACCTCACTGCTCCGAGGATTTCTGTACGTTGGTTAGCCAGTAGCCATTCCAGAGAATAAGAGCATAAACATGAAAGGAAATGACATGTAATGATGAATGACGACGTGCTAGACGTTTGGGATATTGGGTAATAGAAAATAACGTTTCTTAGAATATCGCATGGGATGAGTTTAGCATTTTGATTCTGGCATTTTGTGTCAGGTGGGACTTTGAACCCTGAGTGGACTTTTCTTTCTGGGTGCGCATTTAACACACGCTCTTATGGTGAAGGAAAACATCGTGAGGAAAACGCCATGTATTAGACCTAATGTTGGAGTTTGAATATGTATGTAATAGTAATGGCAGGCAACACTTGTCACGTGTGAAGAAAAAGGTTTTGATTTCGAATATTGGAATGCCAATTTAAATTTTATAATATTAATGTTTTCTGTTATGAAATTGTACTTCTCTTCTAGACGCGGACAGTGAAACAACCTAGGGTTTTATAAACATAAATTATTGTAATAAATGTGTAATTGTGCTTGGAATAATTATAACATGAAGTCAGTGTTTTGAAATAGCCCCTCGCCTCCACAGCTCCAAATATACACAGCTCCGTCCAACACCTGAAAATTCAGGCACTGAATGCACTCTGTCTATTAATAAAAAAGTCACATAACAGATACAGTAATCTCAAACCAAGACTACTTGCTGTTTATTTAAGTTTCGTCCTCTTAGCTGCAATTTGCAAACTATGATTTTTCATATTAGGTATATGCAATTCTAAGTATTTCAAATTCATGGTAAAGCCACAGATACGACATACTGTGCTACCTATTTTTATAAAAACGACACACCCCATCAGTCAAGAGTAACAGTGATAAATAAGGCGGTGTCCACACCGGACACGCGTAGTTAAATGTGACAGCTGAAGGGATATAACGATAGTTTAGGGAGATGAATTTGATTTCTTTATCTTGTGACACCCTTTAAACCAGTATAGTTCGGTCTAAAAAAATGCTGGTATTTTTGTCAATCATGTCTTCGTTCAGCAAAACAACAGTTTTTGGAATATTCGTCCCGATTTGATTCCTATATATAATAAAAAATTATAAAAAGCAGTGGAGCTACAACCTTTTTATGTCTGGGCCTCAGATTTCTGTATCTGTTTCATGATCATTTGTCAATCTAATAGGCAAGTAGGGGATCAGCCGTCTGTGCCTAACACACGCCGTCGACTTTTTGGGTCTAAGGCACGCCGGTATCCTCACGATGTTTTCCTTCACCGTTCGAGCGAATGTCAAATGCGCACATAGAATGAAAGTCCATTAGTGCACAGTCGGGGATCGAACCAACCTCATCGATCGACCTCAGGGGTGAGAGTTACACGCTGAAGCCACTTGGCCAACACTGCTCTCCCTATATAAAATAGGTTATCCTTAAACTTAGCTCTTAAAATTTTAAAGGAAGCCGTAGTTATGATAATGCTAAATGGGTCACTCGAAGCTATTTATAAAACGCATGTCATGTTGAGAATCGTTTTAGAATTTGTTAGTGACAAGAGATTCTTAATGGATGCCAGAACACAGGAAATGTCATATTTTACAAGATTAAATAACTTAGATATTTATAACTTAGAGAGCGTTCAAGTATTACGTACGTCACGCAATTTTTGGAGATTATTGACCCCCCCCCCCATGTAATGCGCCGTAACGTTTTTCTGTACCCAATAGTACGCTTCGTGACCACCCAGTGACTCTTTATACCTAAAAGTTACCATTATGTGGTGTAATGTACTGAAAAGTCAGAAATTATATTAACAAGAACGCGTAATTCAATCCCCGCCCCGCATACGTTTTACAAAAATGACCCCCCCCCAAAATTCGTTACGTAATACTTGAACGCTCCCTCTAAAATAATTTTTGATATAATAAATTTACCTTTTACTTAAGATTCTTCTTTATATAATAAATGTTTAATTTAAATTCTTTTGTCTCAATATTTTGAGTTGAATTAAAAACTCTATATGAATAGTACGATATTTTTTTATCTTGTTTAAAAAACCCATTTGATAAAATGCAAATCCAACTTTTAATGACTAAACGGAGTATTCGAATCAATCGTATTTTTAACTAAGACTATTTATCACCCAGGAGAATTAATTAGCTTCTTAACGCATTAAATCACCCTTAAAATAGCACCAAAAAGTTGATTTATATCCGCGTATTTAAGGAGAAAATTCCTCGCGTCCTCTGAATAGCAGGAGATAAAAAATAAATAATTGGGAACTTATTAATATCCAAGCGTGTAGAGAATGTTCTGTTTTATAGGCTAAAATAATATAGTTACAGTGAACGATTACGATTTCAAAAATAGTTCATAAATTTAATACAGCCGTTTCCCGATATCTGTGTGGTTATATTATCTACGTTATATATTTAACACAATGCTTTAATTTCTTAAGATTATTTTTGTTGTGAGATTTGTAATTGTATAACATTGGTACTAGTAAGCACCCTCAGTTTTTCTTTACTAGGGTTGACTGGAAGATATTGCTTATTAGCGATAAGGTTGACCGTTGCCTCCTTAATAATTTATGTTGTCTGATAGTATATGTGCTATTAATGCAACATAGTATTAAATGTATAATAATTTATAACCTAATTCTATGAATTCCGCACCGCTAGAAATCTACATTTATATTCCTTATAAACTAAATACTTTATTTATATTATTATGACTCGCAATACTTTATAAACAATTAAGCAAACGAATATTACGTCGTATTGATATCGTATCGTGTCCTGTTAAAACATCACATGCCGTTTAATTTTGTGAAAATAATCACAAGTCGCGGGAACGCAGATAGAGCACACGTCTGGCTCATTTATGTGATACACACAGACAATAATACACATAATAATGTAAATATTATTTCAACGGGTGGTGCTTTTTTTATAATTAAATATAAATCGTGATAATCATGGAATCACTAAATAATGTTTTTTGTGATATAATAAGTGGAAAAAATAGACTTTATTTTATTAAATAGAACCAATAAAATATGATGTGTTGATAAAATATTTGTGTTTGTCGCTCTCGCGCCAATTCGTGGGTGTCTTCTCCAAATAGTGTTGGATGTTTTTCTATGATGTTGGTTGCTGAGCGAAGAAATAATGATTATTTTCTTTCTTTTTTACCTGTAAGTTTCTGCAAATCTATTTAAAATAACAGAAAAGATTCTTTTCTGTCTTTGTGAACTTTTACGAAGGTATTTTTCATTTGCTGAATTGAATTAGATTTGAACCGTTTTAGTAAAAAAAATAAACTTTGTTATTATCGAATTAAAAATCTTAATCGACAATGATTATAGTGTCTTTATCTGCTACGCATACGTTACGCAATACGACTTTGAACTTAAGACTTCTAAATGATAAAGCGTTTCCTCACTATACCAGCTGTAAACAAACAGAAAAAACTTGTGAATTTGAACACATGCCAGACCGCTGTCCTTGTTTGCTCGATTTTAAGACTAGACTGCAAGACGATACTGTCTGTTTTAAATTAAAGTAATATAACTGCAAAGGTTTATATTGAAAACCTTATAGAATTTGGGTACGAGTATAAAGAATTTTCGCTCATATATAATTTTCTCAATTTCAGACTGTTAACTCTCCGCCACATCGTGACATCAACGGGGTAGCAGCAACGTCATATCGCCCATACAACGAAGACTATGCCTCCGTCCAACGCCACATCGACAGACCGCAACCGGACCTCGACATCGAACGGAACAAAAAAGAAAAGAAGTGGTCAATTGGCAAACTGTTCAGGCGAAAGAAGAAAGAAGAAGAAAGTGGCACGTCATCACAAAGTGATGAAGGTGTTAGCGAACGATCTCCATCGAAGAAGAAAAGCAAAAAGAAAAAGAGAGTTCCCGTGGTTAATAACTTTGATCACATCGTCATACGAGACACACGAAGAGCTCAAAGCTTAGCCAATCATAGCATTCGTGATATAACCGATGATGGCATATTATCTGATCCCTCAGCGGGCTTCTTGAACTATCAACCCAGAAGTCGAGATGTACCCGATTATCATGATTACCTTGCAGTGAAAGATGATAATACAATCAGACTGGAAAGAATGAATTTAGATAACCCGCCCAAAAAAAGTAGAAAAAGTAGACTCAAAGCCCGTGTTGAGGCACTGCGTAATAGTTTGAAAGGTGAATCCAGTAGTGACGAAGAATCGCTAAAGTCTTCAAATTCGTCTTCAATGATTCGGTTTAGAAGTGACGATTCATTAATGCGATCAAGAGACAGCTCAGCAAAATCTAGAAGTGCAAGAAACGAACGTTATATTAAAAGATTATCAAGAGATGAAGAAAATCAACTTAATAAGGAAGCTGAACTACTTCAACAGGGCTATTCCAAAGCTGAAGTTGAAATGTTAACTCGTACGCCCACAAGTCAGAGCAGTGGCTACGGAACATGCAAACGCGAACCTGTCCACAACTTACAAACTGATCACAACATTATTTCGAATGACATAAAACAAAGATCATTGAGAACGGAATCAGTTTCATCATTCCCGTCTAATCAAAGCTATGCGTCATCCATCAATTTTAATGCAAAAGTTAATAACGAACGTATCAACTACTCTATCAAGTGTCCTAATAATAATGTTCACCATAGGGATGGACTTCATAATAACAGAGAAAGAACCCCTTCCAGTCAATATGAGAATCCCGATAGCATTATGTGTGTTAAATTTCCTCTAGGAAACGTAAATAATATTAAACCAGAAGAAAAAGCTCCACCTGTTCCACCTCCTCGTGATATGCAACGAAAAGTGGTTACCCCTATATCTATGTATTATGAAAATAATTCGCACGGTGGCAACAGAACTAACTCTAACCAAAGTCTTTTACATGGAGTACCAAATAACGATTTCGAAAGAATAATGCGTCGGAGCCAAGAACGCTCTGTTGTTCCAGGGTTAAATGGACTCAGACGACCCTTATCTAACTCAGAAGATCATATAGCAATGCAAAGCAATGATCACTTAAAAAATTATAATTATCGTAATGAACAACCACGAAGGCCTGCTTCAGTATCAGCAGAACCTAATCATTATGGTATGTATATTAACAGTCCTACGTGGAAAAAGAGATTAGAGCCAAGTGTGACAAAAAAGCCTGATCCAACTCTTAAACAAGACTATTTATATTACGCAGATCAAAGTCCCAGATCTAGACGACCCATAAACATACAAAATGGTATTGAACATCAATATTTAAGTGATTCTCAAACAACATCCAATATGACGGATCAAGTATTATATAGAAGGCCTCGAAATGCATCAGATTTTTGGAAAAAAATCGATGACGCGGAAAAACAACGAAAACAACAAATGTACTCCAATTTAAGAGCTAAGAGCGAATATTCAAGTTCGGTGCATATTAATAAAGCTTTATTAGATCAAAACAAGACAAAAGAAAATCTAAGTAGTAAAAATGATGGAAAAGCAATAATTTCAAATGTTATTGCACCATCAGACTCTAAGGTATGGCAAGCAACTACAGAATATAAACGCTCTGTAACGGTAGAACCTCCAAAATCTTCCACTTCGCCAAAAACACATACGCGACACAAATCCGATACATTTATACAAAATAGTTATCAAGTTCCGTCAGACGAAGACGGATCAGAACGAAGGAAATCTACAAACCTTGACGATGCTCTTAATGAATTGGAAGCAATTTATAATAGTCTTGGTTTAGGAGATGAAGATTTATTAGACAGAGCTGAGAGAAGAGAATTAATGACTCCAAAAACGAATGATTGTTGTAACGATTGGAACGGTAATGATGACGATATTCAACTTCGGAGTCAACCTTCCACTCCTTTGAGAAGAATAAGTCGAAGGTCTACATTACCCGATAAACTTCAAGATGATATGGCTTTTCGACGCATGAATTCTTTAACAAACAAAGAAAAATCTAATTACAGAGATTCTCAAGCGCAAATTAGCTACATGTTGGCATCACCTGTGTATGTGCCATATGCATCAGACGATGACAGGCAATCAGAACGAAACGAACCGGACATTATCTATGATGACGTTGTTTACAGAAATATTAAGCAGACCAATAGTAGACTGAAGACCATAGATCCTCAACCACCATTCGGCATTCCAGTTGGCCCCGTATCCCCAGCTCCACAAAGCGACTATTTACACGCAACACCAGAAAATAGAGGGCGGTCTCGTTTCATACCGAAGAAGTCACCAGATATTGTTGCTGATGATTTGGCTTATCGTAGCTTACGCAAAGATAACAGACAATCTACTTTGTTTAACGGGGATGATTATAATGGTGTTGTGAACAATAACTATACAGAGTTTCCGTTTAATAAGGAATCAGGTAGCAACGTAAGAAAAAAACGTGCTGTTAGATCTTTATCTGCAAATATATTTACAGTGATGCAAAAGGAAATTGACGATGCAATTAACATGTCAAAGACTTCTAGATTACAGAAAACATACAGTAATAGCGACGTGATAAGGCGTCTCCGAGAAACCTTTGAAAACAACGACACGCAGCGTGATTGTTATCCACGTAATAAGGTAAAACAAAGACATAATACTGTTAATTTATATCCTAATAATACGCACATACCCATTCACCACTTTGCAAAAGATGATTCATTCGTTCACAGTGAAAATAAATATCTTGCTAGATCATCATCTTGTGATAAGTCCACGACATCCTCACCATCAAAAAAATCACCACAAACATCAAAACGATCATCTAAAGATGAATTTCAACAAGTCCTTAGTATGCTAGCTCAAGAAGCAATGGATACAAGCAACAAACTTGGTGTAGCATTAGCAGAATTAGACAAAAATAGAAATAAAAATGATTTATCTATTACACAAAATAAGATTTCTCATAGTAGAGCCGATTTCTTGAATGCTATAACAAATTGTACCACAGAAGAAACTAATCTAGAATCTGGTAGAAGAGAAATAAATATCAAAGATGTAGGCATCCCAAACGCTCTTACTACGAGTGAAGACACCGATTCTAAAGCAAAGAAGACGGAAGATAGCTTAATAGAAATATCTAATCAGTTACATAAAGTTGAAAATCAGCTTAAACATAGTAATGAAAAAGAGCGAAACTTTAACGATCAAAGTATAGGATACTCTACGTATATTAATGATTCTGAAAAAGCATTGGGTACTGAAACTACGCATATAGAAGACGCTAAATCTATACCAGATGTTGTATCTCATTCATTACAAAATGACGCAGCTTTTGTCGATGGTATAAAAGATTCTAAACCGGAACCTGAATTAACTTCCATAAAATTTCATCCATCAAATCCATTCTTGAGTTCCGATGCTAAAGTGAATGAATTTACCGAAATTAACGCGTTTAAAGAATTAAAAGATGGTATATCGGACTTAATTGCCGGAATATCAGAAGTCAATGAAAAAATTTTTCTTCCAAAGAGTACTCAAAAGTCATTTGACTCCAAAATCGAAATAAGTAATATCACAGAAAAGACGATACAACACCAAGAACTGGATAAAGAAGTCGAAAAATCCCAACGAGACAGTATTAACGAGTCAATATATGAAAATGATGCATTGGAAGATAGAAAAGATGGAGCGGATTCAACTGAGTACAATTCATCAGAGGAACTAGCAACTATTTTCAAATTAGATAATAAAAAGGAACCTAAAACTGCGCCTGAAAATACTACTAACTGTAAGAAAGATAATCGTACCGACCTTAATTCCCCAAAGCTTGTTCGCACAATGAATCAACATCTACGAAAATTGTCGGTAGATGAGAATATTGCTAGTCAAAGTAATCCACTGCCAAAAAACGTAGTACCATGGAGAGCTAAAAGGCAAAATTCGCAAAGCGATGACAAAGGTACGTGGTCTGTTATCATGCATGCTGTATGGGTTTCGCAGTGATCATGCCCTCACTTATCGTTCATTTGCACTAGCCCCTGTCAATTATGTTTGATGTTGTTTATTGACATTATGTTTTGTTGTTTCTGTTGTTTTGACAGGCGGTAACACGAAGTCAAAGCACGATTGGCACAACTCTGGCACGTTGATGTTAGCTTGTTCCTACACCTTGATGCTCTCCCAACAACTGGCAGACTTCGATTGGCTGACGCTCCTCGGCTTGCTGTTGGCAATTGTTACTATTATAGCCATGCTATTAATTTAATTTTGGGATGATCACTAAACAAATGCTTATATAAGAATGCTGTCATATGATAATTTAAGTTCTCTACTAGTTTTCAATAAGATTGTAATCCACTTTTAAAACTAAACATCATACATTTTGGTTATTTAAATGTTATTGTACTAATTTGAACAAATATTCATCAATAGTTTGTTTTGTGATTATTGTTATGTTACCTTAAATACAGTTTATTTAACCTTATTTTAACAATAGTTTAAGTTGTTACTAATTAAGTATAGATCCAGAAGCAGATCCGCTTTGATTTTTGAATAATCTGGCATTTAATAAGTAGTTGAAAAAACTTATCATCACATTGTTAATATTGCACTACAATAAAGATTAATATATTTGCATATACATCACTAATTAGTCATTAAATACTAGCTCTTATTCATAAAAAAATTAGTTTAATTTCCGTTGCTAAAATTTTTCGTTTCTTTTGGTCAAATTATTTATACACTGTGATGAGACAATCAAATTCTTAGTATTTTTATGAATTATGGGATAGCACCCTGCCTATAAAAGTAATATAAATTGATATTTTTGTATATTTAGTAGACCCAATTAACCAACTATAACATATAATAATATGTTTATTTTCTGCATCAATTGAATGTAATAATTAAATTAGAAATAAATTAATGTGCCTTAGATAATAAATTGGACGACATAAATCTACATGATCTAAATTTTACATAATTTTATTGACTTTATTTGATTTCTAACACTTGTATTTGCTCAACATAAGTGACATAAAATAATGTTAACTGTGATTTTAATGTTAGATAAATTCTAAAAAATTATACATATAACATTAAAATTAAATTATATTGAAAAATGAGACTGCCAAATTGATCAGAAATTATTTTATTTTAAAAAGTATTATGAATTGTTGCATGAAACTTTTGCATGTTTTTATTAAAATTATGTTAATGATATTTTGGACATTTAATTAATATACTTTACATAATCAAATTTTATTGACGTGGGGTAAATATAACGCCTTACAATAAAAAAACAGATTTTGATTAAAAGGTGTTTCATGTCAATACAAATATTATAAAACTTTGTCTCTCTTTTAGGTGAAAATTGATTGCTTCAATGCTCTTCTGGATATTATGAATAATACAACGAAAGTTATAAATTATATATCTAAACCTTTGTAAATTGTATTGTATATTTAATATATGTTTGTGAAATTATTTCTTAGTTTATGTAGAGGCTTCCAACGAGTGTTATTTATTAAAATTAAGTTATGATTTAAATAAAAAAAATTTCAGTTGAAATCTTTCTCGTTTTTTTTCCTGCACAATATAATATCCTTCCTCCAAGAGTATGACCAAACTTCCAAAGACTACAACTTAATAAAAACTATAAAGTATAGACCAGTGGTGGGCAAACTTTTTTAATGGCGGGCCACATAGTTGAAGAAATTCTAGGCCAGAATTATAGAAAAAATGCATTGTCTGTTAAAGCTTTTAATCATAATATTATAAAAACATTACAAGTAGAATCTACTTTTTCTTCTCTATATTGCCGGATCATCATTTGTATAATAATTACATTTCTCCATTCGTCTTAAGACCAGAACTATTTCGTTTATCGATAAGGTTAATAAACTATAGACTTCTAAGTTTCTCAGCACGACGTGGCGCAAATTTTGTATTTTTTATGATACATTTCACTTAATATCCTGAAAATTATCAATTATTACAAAGTCCTGTCTATGCGACCTATTTACCGCAATTCATACACAAAAAACTTACACGACTCATTGACCTCCTCGTACGGTTTTTTGAAGTCGGTTAAAATTATTAGTAATTGTAAGTAGGGTTTCAATAAATCGATGTCACGTAAGTTAGTATCTATTTTATTTAGTTGTATTTTTTAATACTTCTCCTAATAAAAAAATGATAGGTGTTTGCGCTTCTCACTCTATACTCGGCTCTCCCATTAAAATTAAATTTTAATTTGAAAACTTCGGTCGTCAAAAGCAGTGGCATATTAGATAGGTACATTACGAATTACGAAGAGTCAATATTTGAGTTACAAGTGTCGTGACAATCTTTAATTTTCTTATTATTATGGAAGTACATATTCTAATTTAAATTTTCAATTGTTCGATAAAAATAACGTGGACAACATGTTAAAACGCTAAACTTTTTCAATAGTTTTCTCACGCCATCTTGTCTAAAAGTACAGCAGTAAGGTGATTGTAGTTACGACTACAATGTAGTACAGCACGTTGTTGTGATAAATAACACACAGAGGGCGCGAACTCACCATAAGCAATCATGTAATATAAAAGACTTAATAAAAATAGACTAATAAAAATATGGCATTCATAACTCAAAATGCGTTTTTATTATTTATGTTACTATTTAATATTTATTGCTTTTTATTTCATTTAATTTTTATACCGACCCCTCACGGTCAACTTCTTTGAACTGTAAAATGACAATGTCAAACACAAAACGTCAACTTTTCATTAAAGAAAAACGGTTGAATGTTGTGTTGTGTCATGTGTACAATTTTAGTTGTGAAATTCGCGTTCCTTGTTAAATAGATTTACTGTAGAAATAAAGTAGTTGTTAAAATTGTAGATATTATTTTTAATAACGTTATGCTATTGTTTAACGTGAATAATAATTATAGCCATTTTAATACCAGCCTACTTTGTTCCTGTGATCTGCCTCTACACAGCCTGTAAAGGTTTGTAATAGTGTATTTATTATTTTATTTTGAATAATTTCAAATAAAATTAAGCGTAACTGCAATATGAGAGTATATGATATAATATTAACTTCTGCAAGTTGTTTGATGAGCAAAACAAAAATGAAATTTAACGGTTTTTAGCATATCTTGAATAGTTTTTAACCGTTTCATAAGTGTAACGTTAACAATTTGATTATGAAAAATACGAATAAAAACGTAATTAAAAAAAGTATTTACCTGTCAGTTACTGATTGTTTAAAATTCGTAATAAATGCATGCATTTCAAGTTTATTTTCGAATTAAGCATCTCAGCTAAGTGAAACACTTTGTCTATACACATGTACATTACACTATATAAACAGTATAATTTCTAATGTCTATGTGATATATTACTGTACATAGTTAAATTACACTTTGTTGCTTTATAATATTTAAAAAAAAACTGTATTATATACATATGCCATATTAAATATGCAATATATCTGTCAGTTGTTTGTTGATTTTGTTTTGAGCCTATTAACTACATATTTACATTAATATTGCAAAACCATTTCCAAAACTAAACTTATATTAGATTTTAATCAGGCATAAAATTTTTGGTCCCAAAATCTACTTTGATCCCAAATGTCAACTTACACATATTTACATAAAATAAATGAAATGTATTTATTTTCCTTATAAAATGTCAACACTTATAGTGCTATTATGTATTTTTCTTTCTCTGTAGTTAAATATAATATGACTTAATATATATATATTATATATATATATATATATATATATGTTTTGTGATGTTGTATTTGTGTCTTATATTTAAGACTAAAAAGAAACAATTTTGTTTTCTATATTTAGCCTGTAATGACACCAATTGTCAAAAGCAATTTTTAAGTTCCATTTGTGTGGTTAAAATGATTTGCATCAAGTGGGGCGTGTTGACCATTACGATTAGCCAAAGGTCCGATGTCTATTTTTATCTCCAATAGACTTTGTGATGTGGGACAAATAAATTGAATATAATAATATAGGTAATATTATATTACATTTGGTTTTCTATTCAAGTATGAAAGAATGCCGTTATATATGCGATTTTTATAAATACTTTTTAGATATGAAATTTAAAACACTAAAAATATCTCTTAAGTTCGTAATCAACTAATATGATATTGAAGCATCTATTTGTATTATAACATGGATTATCAGAGTGATAAGTTAAATAAACAAATACAATGTTTTATGATGTGTAATAACAGGGGTTTTCATACTCATTATCTTTTACTAGAATAATAGCAGTAATTAAAAACATTTTCAACTTATACAAGCACAAGTTTTGTAAATTTGTTAGAGTTTTCTAAATGTTGTTTTACTGGATTATACTGATGTAGTGTTTGAAATAGAATCCCAGGAATGATAAAAGTAATACAAGGTCTTTTTTATCTTATCTTGTTTTCTCTTGATAGTGCATTGTTTAGTTTGATAAAAATGGATGGACATTCTTTTATGAATATAACATGCACTTAGGTAACTAAGACATGTAATGAAGCACACACATCTACAAACTTTTGACAACTTTTTAATATTTTTTTATGAAATATAACATATTTGACAGTATTCAATACAGGATTGCGACTTCATTCATACAATTTAGAACCCATACATTACTGTATATGTTTGTAATATGAATATACATTATAAAATTAAAGTGTGGAACTTTTTCCACTTATGTCATAAAAGATATGTTCTAAGGGCTGACCATCTAACCTAAGTCTTTAAGAATAACGACGCATGTCAAAAACCTCCATTTTTGGAATCATGATAATTGTTTAAAATCTCTCACATTTCTGTGATCTCTCTTCAGTAGCCAACTACTACCATAGTCTGGTTTGACGGTAAACTTGAAAAAATCACTATAGTTGATAAATTAATTGAAAATAATGTTGTGGTGTCAGCTAAAGTAAAAATAGACAAGATCCAGGCCGCCAGACGTCACGTATTTTCTGACGGATGAAATGTGGACGATTGGGTAGTGTTAGTATGTACTATACGTATGCCTACCTGCTAGCTTGGTCAAACGGCCAATTTCCAAGTATCAGGTAATCAAGGTACACAAAAACATTACTTACTTCACGTAAATTCTCATGGCTGATTTTTATATATGTTTTCGAGTGTATAGTTAAAAATAAATTGTCAATACTCCCAGACACTTTCCGTCGGCCATATTGCTTAACAGACGCTTTAAGGGTCTCAAAATAATTAGTCAACTTCACGTA